AGATCAGTACAAAATCTTTTTGTGAAAAAGAGTAACAAAAGCAAGATTGGGACTCATCCATGTTTTAAGCAGGGTTCGAGTGACTTTAAACCGCTAATCAGTTTCACGTGGGTTTAAACTTCTGTTTGTGTTATGTTTTGAAGTGTAGTTTCATTTTTGCACCATAGGTATTAGTAACTCTTTGGAACTTACCAGCTCTTCGAAGTTCTCTCAAGAAGGAAGGCTGGGAATTCACAAAAGAAATAGGAGATGAATACGGTCATGTTCCACCCACCCCGCGGCCGTACGACGAGGTCACAATGCCACGGGGACCTCAGAGAGGAACCCCGTCAACTGTCGGAAGGAACGAACCACGACCGGTACGATCAGACGAAACATCGATTCCGGAACTTCGATACGAGTCCGAACAAAAAAGCGAACCCCCAAGGTTTTCCAAAGATGGTTACGAAGCCGACGACGATGCTCGACGGCGAAGAGAGCCGAACAACGCACGAGACGAACAACGCACGAGACGAGTTGGAAATGAAAGACGTGGGTGACTATAGGGAAACCGATCATCGGCCGGGAGTCGAGAGAGGCGGGGATGTTCAAGGATTACCTCCGGGTGCCCCGCCGGCTTACCCTGACGGGGGTGGAAAGCCCCAAGAAGAACCAACATACGCTCAGGTCGATAAAAGTAAAAAGAAAACGTATAAATTACAAGGAGGGGAAGGTGCAACTTCTGACTCGTGGGTTTGAATGTTCCTCTGAACACTTTTTCGCGTCAATCTTGGAAATCGCTCACACAAATGCAGTATTCGAAAGAGCTCGTAGGAACAGCAACTCCCTCGCGTTGAAGAAACGTCAACAATCGCAAGGGGGAGGCAAATTCAACTGAAAGCGTTTCTTCTTGGAAGACATTTAGGATTTATAGTGTTTTAAAAGTTAATTGCGTTCACTGATCGAATGGACGCCTCGATGAATGCTGATTAATGGCAACTCAAGGGAAAAACTGGTTTTACTAATTAGTTTGGCCACACTGTAAATGATTCATCTGAAGAACACATTCATACAATGTGCAACTGAACTGTTAGGTTCTAGACATCAGATAGTCACCTCTTTGAAAGAGGGTCGAAGGCTTAGTTATATTTAGTTGCTTTTTTGTATGGAAATAGTAAATATAATCCAACGTGACCCGTCATCGTATATTGTAGTACTTCAATGACACGTAAACCAAACTAAAACGTTCCAAGTTCGTTATCTGCCTATTTGACGAAGCAAAGAAATCAATTCACCATTCCATGATATCGGCCCTGTTTCTTGGATTGATCGTGAGCAGGGATCAATTCAAGGGCTCGTACCATGCATGGGTTAAATAGCGTAGACCCTGATTTACAATGAATATTCACCGATGAACCATCGAAGAAGGCATGAAAACGTTGCCTGAATCGAAAACGGCTGCATCACTTCAAATTCTGTTTGAATAACAACACTCCACTTTCAAATCTCTTCATTTCTTACATTAACCTACCCTTGTGCATAAAAACGGAAACTCTTACACAGCAAGCTCTTGCTAATGACCTCTCAAACCCTGTTGATCGAAAGGAAATACTTGAAATTCTAAAAAATAAAGACTAGAAATTGTTCAGGCGATGATAGACCGGAAATGTTTAATGGGATGATATATATAAACCTCTCTGCCATGTTATTTTTTCTTGATTTCTTGTCCGCGTTTTCGATTTTGAGGCAAATGAGTTGTTCAGGGTGCGTCTCCAACACGGACGAGACGGTGAATTTGCGTGCCGGAATGTATTTATCAAAACAATTTACTTATCACGAAATATATTTGAGACAGAGGGTTTTACTGATCCTCAAATCACTCATTCTTTGCTTTGTAATATTTTTCGACCGAAACAAAGGAATCAAAGGTTGTGTTCACTTCCGCTTGTTTTTGTTGTTAGTGTTTTTGACTCAGCCAACAACTTCCTCTCACATAATCATTTTCGATACTAATATGTCTTAATTTTGGGTTACTCACATTTTCGGTTTTTTTCCTCGTATTTTTGGGATAGGATTTGAGAAACAAAACTTATATCTTACCATACCCAAAGAAGGAGGAAAATGAAATTGAATCTGGCATGACGTTGAATTAAATCGTAACAATCATGAGCGGATCACGAATCTGATGTGAGAAACCAAAAAGTGAACATGTACACTGAAATATCCAGCGCTTGGCGAGATACGTGATTCCTGCCTTTTTTAGCCCAATGATCCATGATTCATGAAAATGTTCTTTTTACGATATTCGTGATTCATGTTTTAGCTACATTTCATAACCTGAAAAGCAAGAAAATTCATGACTCTTTATTTAACCGCTATGATTATTTTGCATATAACTCCGAAGTTCTCGACTAGCAATCGTGAAGCCTGTGATTGAAGTGCCAGAGCGAGGTGGTATAACACCGAGTATGAATGTGTATAAAGTAGAACCTAGGAACAAAATCACAATTTCCTTTTTCTGACATAATGAGGTAGTCAGTGGCTATTAAAGTTGACAAGATCGCGTACAGGGCCAGTTGTTTCGATTTCGTAGGTGTACATGAGTAATGATCTGATCTTCACGAACAAAAACTAAAACTGCCTGCGAAACTGAAGTAGTTACATAGAAAAACACAGAAACAGAAACATGCATACACTCCTCAAAATTTATTTATAACCGAGGGAAACAGTATAAAGTGCCGTTGAACTTCTTCGAATTTCATCGTGCGGCTAAGCCGTGACACTTTAGTGGTTACACCTTGGAAACAGCAAGGAAACTTTTCATGTGGAGTTGGTGTCAAGAAAGCAAGACAAACTTCCAACCGAAACTTCTGAGGTAAGAGTCGTGTATGAATAGGAGTGTTTGTTTATTAATAACAGATTTGTTTTTTGTTATACTTACGGTAATGATGTCCTTCATAATTTGTCTCCTTTGCAATTTGTACCTTTTCCAATATTAGATGTAAGAAAAGGATNCACTCCACTTTCTAATCTCTTCATTTCTTGCATTGACCTACTCTTGTGCTTAAAAACGGAAACTCTTACACAGCAAGCTCTTGCTAATGACCTCTCAAACGCTGTTGATCGAAAGGAAATACTTGAAATTCGAAAAAATAAAGACCAGAAATGGTTCAGGCGATGATAGACCGGAAATGTTTAAGGGGATGATATATATAGACCTCTCTGTCATGTTATTTTTTCTTGATTTCTTGTCCGCGTTTTCGATTTTGAGGCAAATGAGTTGTTCAGGGTGCGTCTCCAACACATGGACGAGACGGTAAATTTGCGTGCCGGAGCGTATTTATCAAAACAATTTACTTATCACGAAATATATTTGAGACAGAGGGTTTTACTGATCCTCTAATCACTCATTCTTTGCTTTGTAATATTTTTCGACCGAAATAAAGGAATCAAAGGTTGTGTTCACTTTTGCTAGTTTTTGATGTTAGTGTTTTTGACTCAGCCATCAACTTCCTCTCACATAATCATTTTCGATACTATTATGTCAGAATTTTGGGTTACTCACATTTTCGGTTTTTTTCCTCGTATTTTTGGGACAGGATTTCAGAAAACAAAACTTTAATTCTTTACCATACCCAAAGAAGGAGGAAAATGAAATTGAATCTGGCATGACGTTGAATTAAATCGTAACAATCATGAGCGGATCACGAATCTGATGTGAGAAACCAAAAAGTGAACATGTACACTGAAAATATCCAGCGGTTGGCGAGATACGTGATTCCTGCCTTTTTTAGGCCAATGATCCATGATTCATGAAAATGTTTTTTTTCCGATATTCGTGATTCATGTTTTAGCTACATTTCATAACCTTAAAAGCAAGAAAATTCATGACTCTTTATTTAACCGCTATGATTATTTTGCATATAACTCCGAAGTTCTCGACTAGTAATCGTGAAGCCTGTGATTCAAGTGCCAGAGCGAGGTGATATAACACCGAGTATGAATGTGTATGAAGTAGAAACTAGGAACAAAATTACAATTTATTTTTCTGACATAATGAGATAGTCAGTGGCTATTAAAGTTGACAGGGTCGCGTACGGGGCCAGTTGTCTCGATTTCGTAGGTGTACATGAGTAATGATCTGATCTTCACGAACAAAAACTAAAACTACCTGCGAAACTGAAGTAGTTACCTAGAAAAACACAGAAACAGAAACATGCATACACTCCTCAAAATTTTATTTTTAACCGAGGGAAACAGTATAAAGTGCCGTTGAACTTCTTCGACTTTTATCGTGCGACTAAGCCGTGACACTTTAGTGGTTACACCTTGGAAACAGCAAGGAAACTTTTCATGTGGAGTTGGTGTCAAGAAAGCAAGACAAACTTCCAACCGAAACTTCTGAGGTAAGAGTCGTGTATCAATAGGAGTGTTTGTTTATTAATAACAGATTTTTTTTTGTTATACTTATGGTAATGATGTCCTTCATAATTTGTCTCCTTTGCAATTTGTACCTTTTCCAATATTAGATGTAAGAAATGGATAATCTCGTATTCCGATTTCCTCTCCCGATAACTCGAACAATCGTTTGCTCGAAACTTTCGCTAGTTCAATAAAAAATTCGGTAAGGCTCACGTTTAATTTCTGATATCGGCTTAATTAACATTTTTGTTTTTCTTCCAATTATACGAGAGTCTTCTCAAGCTGAAGTGATTTCTGTGTTTGTTTGCATTATTTTCTTCGCACTTTTGTATTTGGTAACTATTGATTCATTTGGCAAGAAATGCCAAAATTTTTATTATGTCCTCCAGTAGTTTGATACTCTCAAAATCATGTCCTGTAATATTGCCAAAGTTCCTTTATTTTCTCGTACTGAACTCGACACAGAGAAAATTGAAACTAAACTATTGATAGGTTCAATATCAGTAAGAAATTAAGTTTAAAAAAATTAGGCCAAACAAATTTTGATGTGGTCGTGATGCGGAATGGAATGCGCAGCGTTTGTGATCTATCACGTTCAACTATACTCCAAAGATAAGTTCAATTTTTTCGATCTTTGCCAATTTTGCGCGAATGTTAATTTTCGCGTAAGTCGCTATCATGTTCGAAATAGACTTTGAGTTGTCGCTGAAAGTGATAGCAAAAAGATGAAATAAACAGTAAATGACTTCGTAACAACGTCCACTTTCTGGCCTATTGGCTTTGATCTATAAAACAGATCGAGTACACATTCCCAAGTTTNAAAGGGTGGTGTTGTATTGTTAAAACTACTGAAAGATGACGTTTTTTATTCTTTTGAGTAACACGCACATAGTCAAGAAGAGAAATTCCGAATGTTCCCCACAGCAGACAAACCTTCATCACTGAGTCGGAGGTTCGTTATATGAAGGCTAAGAAATCAGATTTATGGATCAAACATCCTACCAACTGCTATGATTGGAAACATAATAAAATTTAATCAGCGCAAATTTAAAAGATGTCTCGTTCTTTGTACTGATTTCAGCCATGGAGGATCCTCAAGTTGCATTGATATCAGTTGATGATCAAGTTACCTCTGTTTCGGTTGAGAATGAACTGGACGTCCAAAGCAGCATATCGCCAGGTAAGAAAATAATAGTACTCTACTCTTATCTCACCTGTAAGTGAGTGCTTTCATTAAGGAACACACATACTTAGAGAAGAGAAACTGCGCATGCTCTCAAATCTCCGAACTGTGATGAACTCGTGGTTCAGAGGCCATTAAGTCAGATTTATGTAGGCGACAAATGACAAAAAAAATCTTGTATACAGCTGGGATTGGAATGTTAGATAATGGGATGGAAAGTAGTAGCTTGTAATGTTGTTTTTCGGGATTTTTTATGTCAGTCAACAATTCCAGAACCAAAACCATAAACATGACGTGACTACTGACGCTTGATAGGATGTTTATAGCCTGCGTTTCTAGCTCGCTTTCCGCGGCTCGCTATCTAAGAACTTTTAGGCCTTTCCCTACGGAGAATGATCAGTGTATGAGTTATTCACACGTTTTTATGATGCTATTAAGCTATTAAGATCTTTTAAAGTAAGGATACACTAAGGGTTTATTATCTTAATATAACGCCGAAATTTCAGCAGAAGCAAACGAGAAGCCCTTAAGAATGCATAGGTTAAAAAGACTAGAAAAACAGGAAGCAGGAAATCTTTACTCCTCTCCTTGTTTTAACAAAAGGAAACTGACTGTTTTGGCCTACGTTCAAACCCCGAGTAAAATTAAGACGGTTTTCTAAGCGGAAACCACGAAAATTTCAATTCTTTTAGCAGACTTCATGAGAGAATTATAACTTACATGGTATCTATGTATTTCAGCCGCAGAAGATAGCCAAGCTACGTCGATTTCAGTTGAGGAGAAACTGGACGTCCAAAGCGTTACTTTATCAGGTGAGACATGATAGATTTCTACTATCAACACCTCTAGGGCACGGTGTTTTAAAATAAAGAACACGCGTAGAATCAAAAAAGAGAGTCTGCAAACGCTCCCAACAGGAGTCGAACCTCCCTTACCAAACTGTGGGAGACTCGTGGTACAATGACCATCAGATTTATGTAACTGACAAACATCTTGCATGTAGCTGAGATTGAAATGCTCGTATTCTCTTGCGTACAACAACAACAACAACAACAACCTTTACTTGCACCCTGAATTAAATTAAATTTACATTACAAAAAGTAATAAATCAAATAAAATAAAGTGCATGGCTGCCCAAAATAACCACCAGGCCCCGGTTATTCGAAGGATGGATAACGCTATACACTGGATAAACCTCTATCCGGTGGATAGCGCAGTACGTTTTGGTAACACTTATCCGCTGGATAGCGATTTATCCGTTGGATAGCGCTATCCGCCCTTTGAACAACCGGAACCAGGCTAATAGAATTGAGCAGCCATCCTTAGGATTTTAAATACTGTAATGACTAACGGTGTCAGGTACTTGAGACTTCTTTAAGTAACACATACAACAACACAGAAACACACAGACAAAAAATAGTTACAAGCTAAAAATACAAATTAGTGAAAATAAGCAGGAAAATACAGTATGTATAGGCATATTAACTAACGGAAGAAAGAAAATGTATAGTATAATAAGTCAGTTAGTAACTTGCAAGAATACTTGATTTTAACTTTTTCTTAAATTGTTTAAGTGATAGAAGCTTAATGTCATCACTGATTGCATTCCAAACCTTAGCGCCTTGATATCTAATATTAAAAATACCATAGTTTGTTCCTGTCTTTGGCAGAGCATAAGTCATTCTAGAGAAAAGCCTTGTATTATAATTATGGGTTGCTTTGACTGAAGTGAAAAAAACATTACAATTAATGGGAGGAAGTTGGTTTTTAAATTTGTACATAAAAACCGCAATGTGAACAGTTACTTCATCAAATAGTTTGAAATAATGAAATGAAAAACA